GTTTCAGTTCTGAAAGCCTGCGAGGCAGCTGGACTCCACCTGAAGCAGTGGAGAGGAGAGGTCAGGCATGGCCTGAGCATAAGGGACGGCTTTGGAAGGCAGGACATTTCCCCTTGTGAAAAATCTAGCTGTGGAATGAACTGGATGTCACTCAGCTGCCATTTAACCTGGAATGTGTGTTGGGGACAGCCACCATGAGCTGTCACTAGTTCTCTGCCTGGGATGAGGGTTTGAAGGGTGAGCTCTGTGTCCAAGAAGAGTGCCCAAGCCTTGGGGCAGGCAGGCACTGCTTCCACTGGCCCGAGCTATCCCACTGCTTGGAATGCCACATTTGGGACCAGAAACAAAGCATTCACAGAGGGACTGGACTCTGCAGCTTGTTAGTTTAGGCAGAGGGGTCTTCCCACACATAATGTCCTCCTCCCTTTCAGCCAAAGCTAAATCATGCCTTCTGTGACCAGCTTTGCCTGGAAGAAGAAACTTCCCTTTGCATTTGTTCCCACTGTGGCCTTCTCTTTCCCCCACAGCTCAAGGACCAGAAAGTCTTCCTTTCTGTTTTTAGGCATGGAAAAGTAAGCATATACTTAAACATTCTTTTTTTTAAGGTTTAATACTCAAGTCCAACCCTACTTCAGCAAAGAATTCACAGATGATATTTACAAGTCCAGTGTAATTACTGCAGGGTTGAAAAACGAGTTCTGCGACTTACGGTGCATCATTGTTTTTCTTTTTTCTTTTTTTTTTTTTTAATGTTTCAGTGAACAATGTGCCTTTCATTTCCTGCAGTGCTGTTAAGGTACTTGCAGCTCAAAGCAGTGAGACTGCATTAAAGCTAAAAAGCGTTTGGTTTGGGCATTACACATTTTTATTTTTTAGAAAAATGCCTCTCCCTCTTCAGAAATTGTTTGAGCAATGGATTTGGCACAGGTTTGCAATCAGCTGCCATAATGAATGCTGCCCTGCTCACTTGAAATGGGAGAATTTACCAACTTCTTTAAAAAGAACTCGCTCATCTACAATCAAAGTGCTGTGCTACCAGCTCTGAGGCACCAAATCACAGTCCCCTGCTGGAGAGGCACGAGCAGCCTGTCAGAAATGACACAGCATTCTCCTGCTCTGCACAGCACACCTCGTGTGCACCTTTACGCTGCACTTATTAATTCACCAGTGCCACCACATCAAACACAAACACTGCCTGACGTCCATTTACTGACAGCAGCAGAGCAGCTCTGTACCAGTTATTAACTACTCTGCTACATCCTCCCTGCCTTTCTCCAGAGTTCAACTCCTGATGGAGCAGAGCAAAATCCAACTTTTCATATTCTCTGAAAGCCAGAATCGGAAATATCCCCGCTTTGCAGACAAAAAGACCAAAAGGTTTCCCTACAAAAGTTTAAAATAATCCTACTTACAAAAAGAAAATCTATCTGATAGCTGTTTCCACGACTGAAAGTGAAAATAAAAGCCTGAGAGAGTGTCCACAGCAGTGCTGAGCTGGGAATTCAGTTGTTCCTGATCCCCAGGCATGCAGTCACTTCACTACATCAGACTACCCATTTTGTCATCCTCACTTCACTGGAAACTACTTTGTTTAGAAAACACAACACCAAACCAGTGCATTTAATAAGCTTTTAAAATCAATAACCCCCTCCCCCCCACTTTTTTTTTTTTGATTGGGTGAATTGCAAAATCACTTTGTGGTGCCAACTGAAATGAAGCTTTTACATACCATTAGGCAACTACAAAAGTGGGGAATTTTCCACATGGGTGTTCCACCCAGCTGGTCAGAAAAAAATCCCTGGTTTCAGCAAAATATCAGGGCATCAAAAAATGTTCTTGCCTTTCAAATGAAGTTGCTGGCCTCTTTCCTTATTCCTTCTGTAAATTTCCTCACCCATACAACAAGCAGAGGAATTCTGGATTTTCTGCCTCTCCCCAAAATGCTGTTTCCCATGGTGACAGAGCAGCACTGTGCACACCCTGTGTTAGTTTTACCCCCAGCTTCAGCACAAAACATCTGGACCTTGGACCGTCCATGCACCAACAAGCCCTGTCTCGCCTGCATGTTTGGTTTTCATGGCCATCATGCTGCATCTCTGTCTTTAGAAATAATTAAATGCTTCATATTTCTGTTAAATATTTGAAGTGGTGACTGGATGACTGCCTGGAAACTATTCTGGCTTAATGAAGGCTGAGGGAAAGACCAGAGTTGGTGCTGAAGCCACCACTAAGAGCAGAAGGTGTCACCATCTTCCCTGTGATGAGCCTGATCCAGAAAATGAACAAGCAAACTAGAAAAAAAACCAGGAGTGGCTCTAAAAGAGAAAAGCTTTTTTTTTTTTTTCCCCATGAACTTCACTTCAATGAAGGTTAGACATACAGGCTTTTCAAAACAACACATACAATTTAGGATGATAAATTAAAATATGTAGTAGGAGGCCTTCTTTTTCAGGGCCGTATAGTTGACCCTTCTGAACCTACATTACTCAAGGTATGCAAAATATATGTGTATAATAAATAGCTCTAGAATTTATGGAGTGGAACAGAAAGGATATTAACAGGCAAGTAGAGAGGCTGTATAACCCTCACAAGGCCTTTAAAGATTTATTTTTTTAAAATGAAGGAATGCATGCATGGAAAAGGCAGCACTGAATCGATACACTTCTTTGTGCCTTCCAGAAACACACGCAAAAATGCTTCCAGATCTGCCCTCAATCTGGCCACTCCACTGTTGGCATCAGTGGGAATGAGATTATTCACGATTCTATTTTTTCTTCTACTAAAAAAAATAATTTAAAAAAAAATTTCCTCTCTGTGTGGGCTCATTCCCACTCTCAGTAAAATCAATTACGAGCCTCCCATTGACTCCGGAGGGATTTGGACCAGGCCCTGTGGAAGTGGGTCTACAGCAAGTGTAGAACAACGCAGTTAATATGATTTATTGTGTCCGTTTCTGTGCGTGCAGTTTTTCATTTTCTAAAGGCTGCAGTTTTGCTTTCATCCTCACGTCCAGGAGATAAGAGCTGCAGATTTGTGTTGATCTACGCCGGGTACCCCGGAGCTGGGGGCTGTGTGTGCTGGGAATGAGCTCAGCCTGCCCAGGGGGAAGGAGCCCTTCAGGGCCAACACTCTGCCTTAGAAAATCTCCCACACACGCACTGCAGAAGGTGCAGAACCAGTGAGGAGGCTGCTGCTGTGGTGGGGAAAAAATACCCTTTAGTAAAACTGAGAAAAAAAAAAAAATAAGAGAAAAATCTTTTTCCTGTTTATTTAAAAAAAAAAAAAAATTAGAAAAAAGTACCTATTGCAGGTCAGCAGCAAAGTTCCAAGAATTCGCTAAAAGATTGTTTTACAAAGAAGACTCAGGCTCCAAATCAGAGATATTTCATTTCACTAGGCTTTTACAGATTCTACATTATTAAACACTGACATTGCTGCTTTTCGGGGCAGTTGTTGAGTAGCAAGCTTTGTTAAAGACTAAGAAACTGCAGGGTAAGATGAACTGTGCTTTAATAGCTGCGAAAGAATATTATCTAAACACGAAATAATAACATGCTTGGTGCCTAATACATTCTAAATTAAAATATTATTTAATAAACACAGGCAACATATTCCCCATAAAAAAAAATAGCAGAATTGGCAGAACAAAAATCACAGTTTAGTCAGTTCTTCTCTTAACCTTGCAATCCTTTGGCTACAAATTAGAATTTCTGTGAACAGGATTGATAAGGGAAATTAGGAGCTGTCTTTCAGAAACAACAGCAATGTTTTAAGATGGTATGTTTAGAGATGAACAGCACAAAACCTATCAAAATATGAAACCTTTCATATCTAATGGGAGGAAAATACAGGAGCCCAAATAGCTAAAATCTCAGCAGCCCAATGAGCCCTATGTTCCATGTGCTATAGTGCAAAGGTTTTTATGTACCTAAACCTCTTTTTCTTCTCTTAATATTAAACCCTAACCCCAAAGCAGTCCAGATGAAGCCCCTCAGCCTCACTGTCCCATGCAGGGGTTTAAGGCAAAGCAGTTAGTTGCTCTGTGAAAGGGAAATCACATGTGTATTACTGCAGACACAGAATTTCTACATGGATTTACACATCCCAGAAATGGTGACAGGGCTTCAGAGGCATAAACCCTTCACACAAATTCTTTCTTATAGAGTAGACCCGAAGTACAGTGGACAACACAATCTACATTTAGGTCTTACAAAAAAAAAAGCTCTGATTGTAGATAAAAGAAGTCAAGAAAAACTATTAATAATAATCATCCCTTATTCTAAGTCCTAAGTATAAGTAGTTGCCGATGGGCCAACAAAAATTGTTGAGGTCTACCTTAGCTAAACACAAAAAGGAAGAGAAGCTGTTCCATTACACACATAGTCATCTTTTCACATACAGTCCCCACAGAAATCCACTATTATTGAATGTTTTTTTTTTTTTTTTTTCAGGCTGCTTTACAAAGCCAGCTCTTGGTCCAGTAAAAGCCATTGCTTCAACTTTGAATCTGTCCTGGTGCAGAGAATATGAGTTTTCCCTAAAATTGCCAGTTCTTCTAATGCTTCCACTCCAGCCACTGCCACTGGAGAACGCGGAGAGAGGCACCGAGGAGCTGAGCTGAACCTCCCTGATCTCTTTTCCTGTTGTATCTACTCCCCTGAAGGTCATGACTCAAGGCCCAGGGACTGAAAGCCTTTGCTATGGAGGAATAAGGATAAGGGTTGCATACAGCAGGCTCTTTAATGGCATCTCCCTAATTAAAATTAATTTTAAAGGGGGAAAAAAAAAAATGTCTCTCTCCAGGACTGGACAAAGGAATGCTACCTTAGATTAGTGAAACAGTAGCATTTTAATTAAGAGGAGAGTGCACAACCTGTTTGTAGCCATCCCATGTCAAATATTCTGAATCATCTTTTTATATAAGACATGGGGAAAAAAAAATCTTTATAAATATGGGCTGTTTTAATATCCCAAAGCAGGAGCAGCAGGTAAGAACTTACCATTTTCTGGCTGGTCCTTAATATCAGCTTCACTTGGCTGGCTGGGACTTTCAGATTGACTTGAATCTGAAAAACATAAAATACAGCCAAAAATTACAGGGTCTGCTGTGGAAAATAGATCAGAGGCGCCAGACTTCCTCAAAAGGCTGAGAATACAAACTGAGGACAGGAGTGTTGCACTAGGACATGATAATGCAAAAGTCCCGTGCCTAGGTAACATGTTTGCTAGCCAGAAAAAAAAAAAAAAAAGAAAAAAGAAAAAAAGAAAAAATTAAAAAAGGGAATCTTGTTTGTGGCACTACACAGAGTGCTTGGGGTGTGTGTGTTGGCATAAATTAAGCTTTGAGAATCCTTCTTTTTAAAGAAGGCATATTTAAACGACTCTCCTACATGTTTTTTTTATAATGCAGCCTCTATGTTGTATACAAACCAGAGCCTTACTCCAACACATAGTAAAGTCTCAAAACATATCTCCAAGCAGGCATAGAAAGGTAACTTAGCAACCCTACATAGTCGTGGAGATTGTTGGCTACACATTTCTGGAACAAAATCTGCAAAACTGAGGGAAGAGCTGATTTTTTTGGCGTGCTTTCGCAGTGGTTACAGCACCACAAGATCCCTAAAATTCACGGTGCTGGTGGTGATTTGCAGTGGGATAAGTGAGTCCAGATACTGGATGACCTGCTTTAGAACTTGTGTAAATAATCCCACAACCTCCCAGCTAACACTCTCCAATGAGCAAAATTTATTTGCCTAAAATAATAAAATGATCTATAAAAGGGTATGTGTAAATATGAGTGTTTTGCATTTTTTACACATTATTAACTCTGCTTTATGTGAAGATGATCGTTCTTTGGTCCAAAAATTATTCTTAGTAGAAGCTTTAGTCAAATAGTATTTTCCTTCTTAATTATTTCTGTCACTATGGACTGGAAAAAAAAGTCCCTTTACCTGTGGGAAAAAATATTTTTTAAGAAATCCCTCAAATAACTGGTTTTTGCAATTAATACAATTTTTTCCCTTTCCCCAGAAATTGTTCTGTAATTTATTGATCCTGCAGAAAAAGTTTTTGCTGTGGAACAAAACTGAGGCGATGAAACCGCTTGCTAATGCCTCAACACCACCCCTCATCGTGGCAAACCCATTTTCTGACTTCACCTTGACTTTGCAGAGTTTGGAACTAGCTGTCTGAAATTTGACCACATTTCAGTGAGAAGTCAATGCAAGATCAAAAGGTCACGACACTTAACTGTGATTAAATTGAAAATCTTACTTCTATTGCAACAGAGTCATAACACCACCCCTTCTTTTTCTTTGAGGTATTAATAGTGCTGGAAGAAGCAGTACTACTAGTGACCTTGGGTCAAGCAATGCTAATTTATTGCTTTAGAAAGGTTCCTTGCTTTTAAGCAAATGAAGATTTTAATTACCGCAGAGCACTATAAAGAAAATGCCTATTTTAAATATTCAAATTTTTTTTTTTACCTGCTGACTGTCTGCTTTAGGTATCATTCAGAAGCTTAGAGGACAATCTTGTATAAATTAAAAACTACAAGCAAAACAAAGCGCTCACAAAACAAAACTTGATAAATTTCAGAATATAACCACTCAGAATATTTAGCAAAGATTCAGTCATGATACTTCTATTAAAAATCAATTAAATTCCCCTAAAATGTGGTATATACCCAGTACATCCCAGAATCAATTTCCTCTCTTTTGTATTTATTATTTTTAATAATTTTGCCAATGAAGCTAAGGGGGGGAAAAAAATTCCTCACTTCTGCAATTTTGTTTTAAATATTGATCTACTGAATTATCTCTCCCTGAAGCTGAAATCAGTGCCAGCAGATACACTATGGGGGTAACATGCACAGCACTGTTGTATTCTGGATTTTGGCAAGAAGTTTCGTGTTTCCGACACGGCAAAGGTAGAAACAAAGGTAAAATATTAGGAATGTAAAATATTTAGTTAACATTCAAAGTCAACATTCAACGGATTTCATTTTACAGGGTGGGCATTAGCCTTTTGCTTATTTTTTAGGTTTTACTTTCCCTTCAGCCAGCCATGGCTCAATCAGAGTTTGGGCTTTATGTTTCAAGTAGGCTCAGAATCCCACAAAAAATTTATAGATTTGGAGACGTTCCTGCTGAAATGTGGCACTGGGAGCGTGTTTCCCTTTCCTAAAATTTGGAATGAGCCAGGGAGGCGGCGAGAGGGCCGCGGTGGCGGCCGCGGGAGCCGGGCTCGGCGCTGGCACCTTGGCTCCAGCACAGCCCTGCAGCCGGTGGGCAGCACACACAGCCCGAGCTGCTCCTGGCTTGGGAGGAACAAACAAAGTACTTTTGTCTGCCTCGAGTGCTGTTTTTCCAACACCAAGGCTAGTGGCACAAGAGGGGCTCCACTGGCCGTAGGACGTTTGTTTGCACGCTGAATCTTTAACTTTCTCCTTTTATCACCTCGGCTCTGGCAAAAGCGTTTTTTTTCCCTAATTCTGCTTCCCTGCAACCCACCTCTTCTGCTGAAATTAAATATTAATTTCCCAGGAAAAGACAACACAGCTTCAAGCATGTTCTTCATGGAGAGGCACAGGGCAGTAAAACACAGGACGAGGTAGAATTAAAGCCACTCAATCCTGCGGTGGGGATCACGGGAGGCTACCGAAAACATGGACTGGGCAAGCGTGTGCTCAGCATTGTTATGCAAGGTGGCATCTTGTGGAAACCCCAGATAAGAAGACTGAGTTGAGGCACTTAGCCAAAATGTTTATATGCAGAATTTTGCTTCCCTGATTTTATTCAGATGCCGCAGATGATCCGGCACATATAAATGTGCCGCCACATGGTTAAGGGATTGGCAAAATCAGAGCCGTTGTGTTTTACAGTCTTGCCTAGGACGAGGGAGTCTTGCTCAGCCTCCACCACTCGCTCTCTGCTTTTTCAGCAGTTGGCACTAACTCCTGTCGGGGCTTTTTTGTTGTTTTGCACATGGAAACTTTCAAATTCCAGTTTTCTGAACGTTTAATGTTTTGCGGGCTCGGCTACAACAGGAGGGGGAATGTCTGTCCTGCTGAGTCAGTTAGCCAAACAGGTGACCGGAGGAATAAATTAATTTTTGCCCATACATAATTGATATAAATGGAAGATCGTTTTCATAAGCATTTGCATTAAATCAATAAAATCACTTACTATAGAGCAGTTTAACAATTCATTTGATTTTCTCTTTTCTATATATTTGATAGCTACTCTGCAAAACAGTATACACTTTATGCCTATTTTCTTTAGCAACAACACTGCCAGTTAAATTCTACCACCTGCAATAATTAGAGCCATTGGAAAACATACAAAACAAAATATACAGTAGATGCGAGCCCCTCTTGAATCCATGGCCCCCTGCGGCAACGAGTTTCATTGGTGCCTTAAGCTAAGGCTGGTAGGAAGCCAAAGAATCTGTATATTACAATAAAGTGCATGTTATTAAGGGGAGGATTTAAATGATTTCAGATGGAGTTGGAAATATTATAGTGAGGAACCACTATTAAGATTGCTGATTAAAAAAAAAAAATCACCAAGGAATCTAGTTTTATGTTTAAGGAAGCTTAACCTTGAATAGCACAATGGGTTTTATTTGGGGTTTTTTTTAGTTAGAGGAAAGTTAGTGGTTGGAATTTTTAACCCTGAGCTAGCTGGGGTTTCAGTGAGTCTGTGCACTGCGCTCAAGGTTACTGGTCAAGAGAAGCTCAAGGGGATCTGGTATCAACCACAACCATGGCAAACAGGATCAAAAAAACATGTTGAAGCTATTTTACTCTCCACTTCCAAGAATCAATTATGATTAAGGGATAAAGAAAAAAAATACGCAAATAACAAAACAGGCTAGTTTTTCAAAGTAGCATTTCCTATCACATCTCTATTCTCTGCTCCTCTTTGGATCTGTTCCTTAAGCATATGCTACCTCAGCACGACCGAGCCCCAGACCTGCCTGATCCCAAACCCTGTGCAGGCAGGGACCTCCAGCTCTGGGACGGAAGCTCTGGACTTTTCAGGCTGCAGTTTTCCTTTTCAGCTGCAGCAGGAGCACAGCTCCAGCTGGGCTGCACGGCGGCTGCATGGAAGCAGGGCTGGCGGCACTGGAAGGGAGCGCTCCATTGTTTGGAAAGAATAAAACCTTCCCAGGAAAGTCTGGCCCGTGGACAGGACCAATGTCAACAGACTGACAATGTTGTTCTTTTTTGTAGACCGTGACACAGACGGTGAAGTGTTGTTGCGCTCCTCCACCAAAAAAGCCTCGTTTGAGTGCCATGGCACTTCCCAGTGCTAAACCATTCCATGGCCACCTGACTGGGGAGAGACGGGACACTTTGTGGAGCATTCCCTAAACCACACCGTGTTTTCCAGAGCAGGCTGAATCCAGGCTGGAATTCACAGGGGTGGCAGTGACCCTCTTCATTGTCTGCTGGTTTCCGCAGACCCAGCGAATGGGTGCCAAGATCATTTTTTAGCTCTGCAGAGCCGCTCCCCAGCAGAACCTGAGCCTCTGAGCAGCCCGCGAGCTACCACAGGTGCAGACACATCTATCCTGGAAACAGTAAAGGTGATCCCCGCGTAGTGCAGGAAAAAAATGACCGGCAATGCCAGATGAGCAAGGCAGCACCGCCACTGCCCATGCTGAGCCTGCTTTGCAGTGAAATACAGCAGGTTCCTCTCCTCCACCACCAGCCCAGCACCTCTCAGGAGCACCACAGAAGTGCACAAGTTAAATTTTCCATTCATATCATGTTTTGGGGGTGGGGGGAATACTGTATAATAAACTGACATATTTTATTCAAGTTTCAGAGCCCTTTTTGTAATAAAAAATTTATATGGCTGGGTTGTGTTCATGCAATAAATTTTTCATCTATAATTTTGGGCATGGATTCTACCAAAGATTTATATACACTAAAAAAAAAAAAAAAAATTGAAATCATGCTCTTTTATATACAGTCTTATGTATAAGAGCTTAAGGGATTTACAAACAGAAACCAGCACCAGGGCTGGGGCTTTTTTACACTCACTTTCCCTTCATTATG